ATCTGATCTCAACCCATGTGCAGGATTATACTCTCTCAACCCTGAATCTCTTAACCTCATCGTGTCTACTAAAGAATTCTCTTATTTTCTGGTTATATGAGTTTTTGCTCATTTCATATCAGGTTTTAGGATATCCTTACTCTTTCTATATATCAATAGCATTATTCTCATGCATTCCTAGTCTAGCCCTAAGTGATATTTTACCAAGTATAGATTTCTGAAGCATTGATTGTTCCATTAATTTTCTAGTGAATTATGTCCTCTTTTGTGATATATAATTTATTTCTAATATAATTATTTAGTTTTTAATGATATATTTTCCTCTTAATTATAAACTCCTTTAAATTATAGACCATATGATTATATGTTGAAACTAAATATTTAAGGTATACATTTTTGATATATATATATATATATCTTCTTTTTTTTTTTTTGGTACTGGGGATTGAAATTAGGACCTCGTGCTTGTCAGGCAGGCACTGTGCTGCTGAGCTAAATCCCCAGCCTCTGATATATATGTATCTTAGAATGATTATTTCAATCAAGCTAATTTTAGTATATGTGCTGCCAAAGCAAGCACACAACTACACTAATTAACATGTCCCTCTCTTCGTATATTTATACGTGTGTATGTCTGTGTAGTGTGAAAACGCTTGAAATCTACTCTATTAAAAATTTCTAGCTGGGCATTGTGGCACATGCCTGTAATCCTAGCACTCGGGAGGCTGAGGCAGGAGGGTCGCCATGAGTTCAGGCCAGCCCAGAATACATAGTGAGTTCAAGACCAGCCTGAACCATATAACAAGACCCTGTCTCAAAAAAACAAAACAAAAATTCTAGTTTGTAATACAGTTATAAACTATAATAATTACACTGTACATTAGATCTCCAGACTTATTCATGCTGTATAATTGCAACTTTGTTTCCTATAACTAACATTTCCCCATTTTCCCCATCTCTCTGGCCTCGGCAACCATCATTCTATTCCCTGCTTCTGTGTATTCAACATTTTAAAGATTTCACATATAAGTCAGTTCATTCAGTATTTTTCTTTTATGTCTGGCATATTTCACTTAGCAAACTGCTCTCATTTATGGTGTCACAAATGACAGGCTCTCTTTTGTTAAAGCTGAATATTTTATTTTATACACACATACACACACACACACATACACACACACATACACACACCACACACAGGATGACCATCTTTGACCGAAGATGCTCAAAAATTAAAACCTTTTTGAATGTTAACATGAGGCCATAAGTGGAGAATTCTATACTTGACCTCATGTAGCAGTACAATTGAAATGGCATGCTATAAATACCATATAAAATCACCTTCAGGTTATACATACGTGTGTGTGTGTGTGTGTGTGTGTGTGTGTGTGTGTTTAAATTTGGGTCCCATTCCCAATATATCTCATCCAAAAAATATGAGAAACTCTGGTCCCAAACATTTACATAAGAGATAAGGATCTCACTCTGTGTCTCTCTCTCTTTCCCTCCTCCTCCACAATTTTTTTTATCTATTCATCTACCAGTGGACACCTATGTTGTTCGTTCCCATATCTTGGTTGTTGTGAATAATGCTGCAATGACTATGGAATTGCAGCTATCTTTTTGAGGTACTGATTTTATTTCCTTCAGATATTCATCCAGAGGAAGGATTTTACTGGATGATATAGTAGTTCTATTTTTATTTTTTTTAGGAACCATCAAACTGTTTACTATAATGAGTATACCAATTTACATTCCTACCTATAGGAACACAAGGGATTTTTCCCCCTTTACATCTTTGTTAACAGTTTTATCTTTTATCTTTTTTACAATACACATCTGAAGAGGTGTGAGGTGATATCTCAATTTGTTTTTGATTTGCATTTCCTTGATATTAGTGATGGCAAGTAGCTTTTCATATATGTGTTAGTCATTTGTATGTTTTCATTGGAAAAATATCTTCTGGGATCCTATGGTCATTATGAAAATCAAGTTGTTTTTTTTATTAAATTGTGTGAGTTCCTTATATACTTTGGATATTAATCTCTTATTCAATATACAGTTTGCAAATATTTTCTTCCAATTTGTAGGTTGCTTTTGGTAATACCATTTGTCTATTTTCACTTTTGTTGCCCATGCTTTTGATGTCATATCTAAAAAATCACTTCCAAGTCAATGTCAAGGAACTTTGTTTTCTTCTTGGACTTTTACACCTTTGGATCTTAAGTGTATGTCTTTAATCCACTTTGGTTTGTTTTCTGTGTATGGTGTAAGATAAGGATCTAATTTCATTCTTTTGTGTGAGGATATCCAATTTTTCCAGCATTATTTATTGAAGAGATTATTCTTTCTCTATTGTGTATTTATGGTGACTTTGTTGAAGATTAGTTGGCTATATGTGCTTGAATATAATTCTTGGTTCTTGATTTGTTCCATTGATCTACGTGTCTGTTCTTAATGCTTGTACCGTACTATTTTGATTACTATGTCCTTGTAATATAATTTGAAGTCAGGAAGTGTGATGCCTCTAACTTTATTCTTCTTTCTCAAGATTGCTTTGATGAATCAGAATCTCTTATTGTTCAACATGAATTGTACAGTTGCTTTTTTTTTATTTCTTTGGAAAATGCCAATAGAATATTGATAGTGATTGTGTTGAATCCATAGATTGCTTTGGGTAGTACTGACAACAATATTGATTCTTCCAATCCATGAATACAGGATATTTATGTCCCGTTTCTTTCATCAATGTTTTACAGTTTTCAGATCTTTGTATCTTTGGTTATCAATTATAAAATTTCTTATGTCAACAACCATTCTGTAATCCAGATTTCAGTGTTTCCTACAATGGCTAGCACAGGGCCAGGCAATCACTAAAACATTTATCAAATAAAAGTGTCCTATTTTCATCAAATGTATTTTAATATAAGTTTCTCTGCTGAAGATATGGGGGACAGATACATTTCTGTTTAAGCCAGGTGCAACGGAACACGGCTGTAATTCCAGCTACTCTGGAGGCTGAGGCATAGAGATCACAAGTTTGAGGCCAGCCTGGGTAAATTAGCAAGACCTTTCCTCAAAAATAAAAAAGGCCAAAGATGTAGCTCAGTAGTAGAGTGCTTGTCTAGCATGGATCCATTGGTGGGTGCACACTACCAAAAAAAACAAAAGAAAAAAAAGTCCAGATTGTAAATGTTGCCCTGTTTACCAACCTGGAGGATGGTTTTTTTATCATATCCTATTTCTGTCCTTCTTTTATCTTTTAACTCTTAGAGTTAGATTTTATAGATACTTGCCCTTAAGTAGGTATCTACCAAACCTTCAGTAAAATCGTACAGAATGGTGAAGTATAGACTTGTCCCTTCATATCTCTGTTGTCTCATGCCTGAAAACCTGCAAAGACAAAATACAACCTTTCCTGACCAGAAAGTTTAGAAGCTAGAAAGCCAGAAGGAATTGTGAGCTACCATAGTGGAAATACGGAAATCCACAGGGAACTTGGGTGATGGAAAGCCAACTAGGTTGGTGTGTGCGTGTGTGTGTATGCATGTGTGCATGCTATGTGTATATTCACGGCATCAAGAGACATCAGCAATACTGATACATTTTTATGGGTCTTATAGAGAAAAAAGTCTCACTGCAGGTGTATAAAAGATGAAGTAAAATCATTTTCATCAATTACCTTTTACATCAAATTTTGTCCAGTACATTATATCCTATGTACATAAATAAACCTACATGTCAGCTATTACTATATCCAATTATACTATAATTGTTCACCATACCCAGTCTTCATAATTTGTTACTTGTATAGCACCTTATGCATTCACAATTTTAAAATTCAGGAAGAATATGTTTATGATTTCTCTAATGTGTAGGCATATAGATCACAATATACTGATCACACACTTTACTTACCCATTAAATAGTAAATGTAAAATTTTAAGAAAAAAGTATGCATTTAGCTATAACCTAATTAAAGTATGAATCATTACTTTGGCATCACTCTTCCAAAACGATTTCATATTAGGTTATACTCATGCAGCTATATCACATATTTAATGGAAAGAATGTGAGCCCATATATTCAGTTACATTATTTAAAAAAAGAAAATAGAAATAATATCTACTCTCAAGATAATACATATTTTATGGACCAGCTATTTAACTCAGTGGTGCCATGCCTGCCTCGCAAGCACAAGGTCCTGAGTTCAATCCCTGGTACTAGAAAAAAAAAGATAATATATATTTTAAAATCAAGACTTCCATCTCACAAAAGTAATAGAATATTTGAAAATCAGGTGTTTTTAGAAAGAACATCTAGTTGTTCATTGCCCAGCTCCTACTCTTTCAGAAGAGTTGCCAGCAGGGGAAGGCATCTCACTCCTCCATGCTGAAGTCCCAGAGGAGCAGGTCCCCTATGTGGTCATCCAGCATTGGCCATCAAGGGGTGGACAAGCTGATTGTATTCTGAGGTTCAATACCAGGAAATACTTGATTACAGATGGAAGACTTATCTTCCATCCTAGTCTTTGACAATAGAAAAGTAATCTACTAACGCTTTTGCTTTATAGGTTGATTTGGAACTTGAATAAAGAAGAGAGTTGCTACTTATTTAACCTTATTTAACCTTTTCAAAGATTCCAGAATTCTTGGTAGAGTGCAACTCATTTTAGGATAGGAACAAGGAAACAAGGCTAACTAAATGTGACATAAAGTGACAAATGTGACACAATCTTTATTCAGTGGTATCCTTTGTCAAAAATGTTTTGAGATAGAGAAAACTAAGAATTTGGAGAAGAACCCAAGTCTCTCATCTTTCCATCAGGCCAATGGTCTCTGTTTCTTGGATATACAATAGTAGTCTCACAAAAGAGAAAAGAATTCTTTCCTAAACTATTGGGCTTAAGTTTGGCAATACACCAAAGTTAGTTTGATATTAGATGTCAAAATTGGAAGTTTTAGTGTTTTAGCTCCTTAAACTTTGAAATGGCAAATTACCTTTATAGGTTGGGACAGTGTCCAATTTTCCTTTTTTAATTTGTCTTTCCAAAGGCCGAAGTATTGCCACAGGCTGCACTTTATAAGAAGTAAAATCTCGTTTGTAGGTAGTGCCAAGATCAATCTTCCCCTGTTTTGGTTTATATTCTTCTGGTATGTGGCGAAGTTGTTTCACTATTTCATAAGGACGATAATCTGATCTGAAATAAACAAATTTGAAACATAGCCTCACACATGCTTTTATTGCAATTATCTCAGTTTTAAAATATCAAAGTTTTTCTTAACTGAAAAGTCTAGGAAGATATCAAAATGGCAATAATTGATGAACTATTTGAAAGAATTTAATGCCTTTATGAGGCTCTATCTTGTGACTACATAACTTAAGAAAATGTGCCCAAATCCTAGCTTTTTAAAACATCAAAAGAGATCCTCAGTTAATTTGATCTTAAGTAAATAAAATCCTCAAATAATTGAGGTTTTTCTAATGTGGAAGGAAACCTCAGGTGAAAGGTTTCATTAACCTGCAAAGTATAGAAATGTCTCCCTGCATCCACTTTGTCAAAACCTGACTTGTCCTAAATAAAGATTTTCCTGCTCATTGCAAAATGATCAGTGACTCTGCAAGAGTGAATGATACATCTTAAGGGCAACTCATTAGCTACTACTATTATTATTTCAATGTTAGCCACTACTATTACTCTGAGTCCTCATAGACTGTTTTTCTTCTGGATTCTGTTGGCCATGCCACTCATTTTAACTATCTTGTATTGATGAAAAAATTTCACATGTTCATAAGCTAAAAAAAGAAAAATATTCACTGAATCCCGTCTCTTTATGGTATCCATTCTTATGGTGTTTGACTCTATTTTCTCACCCCCTCTAACCATTCTTCAGGCCTCTTCACTCCGGTTTTCAGGATTGTCACTCCCTCAGTGCAGTGCTAAGGTTCATAGTGACTCCGTGTCATTAAACACATCAGATATCTCTAGTCCTTGTCTTATTTGGCCTCTCCAGCAGTAACTGACATTATGTCCACACAGTCTATTTCCAGGAAATTCTCCCTTCCTGCCTTCTCTATTACTCCTTTTTGGTCTCCTGTGCTGCTTCATCCACTTATACTCAACCAGTAAATAATCTACTCAACAGTTTCTCAAGATTTGGACTTATACACACTTCTCTTAACCAATGTTTAGTCACAAGGACAACTCCTCTCTACTCACATAGCTTCAATTACTACCTCTACAGAAATGACTGTCAAATTTACATCTCAGCCTGAACCTCTTCTCTGAGCTCCACATCACTACTTACATGGCCTCCTGGATACTCAATGGCACTTCAACAGTCAACATGCTCCAAAAAACCCTCTCTTTTTTCCAAGAAGCCTAGTCTTTTTGATTGCTCCATATGTAAATAAATAGCTTCTCAGCTCACAGTCAAAAATCTAACACTCACCCTTTAACCTCCTCTCCTCTTCTGTCAATTTTGTCTCCTACATCTCTTAAATCTAATTGCCTTTCTCCAACTCCACCACTGCCATAATATTCAACTCTTTCATAGTGGCTCATTTGAACCATTCTCCAGTAGCTCCCTCAACTCACTTAGCAGCATCCACCTCAGTCCTCTGCCCAAGCTCGTCTCCATATAGGACCCAAAGTAACTCATATGCAAATTTCAACTGGTCATTCTTCTCTCCTCTCCCTGGCTTCTTCCTTACCTATCTCACCTGTTCATTCAACACCTCCTGCCCCCCCATCAAAGAAAACAGAATGGAAGCCTTCAGTGCTTCTTACTGCTCTCAAGACATAGACAAACTGAACACAGCCTAACTGCCCTGCCTGGCCTCCATCACTAGCCTCAACTCACACTCCACTTCCTCTAGTATTCTCTGTGCAAGGTGGCCTTTAGACATTTCTACTTTCCACGTTTGGTTCTGCTGCTGCTACTACCTCTGCCTGCAATTCACTTCCTTTTCCTCTTAATCCAGTTAACTGCTTAACACCTTTAAGGGTTATTTTTTCCCTCTCATTTTCCTGACAGTCAAACCTTTTATTCTAGCTGTTAGGGTACCTTGTGCCTATCCTTCATGGATTTTATCAGTTGCAATTTCACATGTGTTTTGAGTTGTGCTTTACATAAATGCCCTTTCCATGTTTATTTAAATCATGTACCTCTTTTTCTCAAGAAATGTGAGTTGTTCTTTGCTCTTTCCAAACACCAGCTATTAGGGAATGGGCTAAAATGCAATCCAAAAGCAGGGAAATTAGGGAGAGAAGGGCAGAGAGAAAGCTTGGAGGTCTGTCTTGCTGGTTAGATTAGCTCAAGTGTTAGGAGGTGCACCTCCAAATCCATGGCAACTATTTGTGGAGAAGCAGTGAAAGGTGAATGTGGTCTTACTCCTCCGAGATAGCCCGCAACATGTGATATGTTCTGAATTCTCCTCCTCCTGTGCAGACTTCCTGTTCAGTCTGGGAGACATGAATCTGTGCTACAATTATAATGCTAAAGGATCAAAAGTCTTGTACATGTTCAGATTATCACCTCTTTACATAGTAATCTCCTTTGGTATTAAAGAAAGTATAGAATGACCCTATTCTTTGTTTGAATTACAGATAAATCAGCATGAAGGAGTCAAGCAACAGTTCCAAACCCTTATGTTATGGTTCTTAAAAATTCTGCTAGTTTCCCCGTCAATATACAAAGAAAAGACCCAGTGTCTTCTGAAGAGGTGACGATTTAAGAAATTGAATGTTGGCTTTTATAGGAATTTTGGTCTTTTTCTTTTTAAAATTTCTTCCTCTCTTTTCCTCCTTACCTGGAAAACCAACAAGTGAAAAACAACTGTCTTTTATAAGAAAGACAAGATAGTTAAACCTTCTCAATTTTAACATTTACAGCTGGTTAAAGCCTTTATTCAATACTGTAAATGTGAACATTTATTTCATATCTCCATTTTGAACCATTAAGGCATCTAGTAAGAAAGATGCTAAAGCAAAAAGAGCAATTATTCCCATTTGCTCTATCTTAACCAGCTGTTCAAAGTCATCATCTCATTGCCTATAATCTACATTGTTTGTTTATACGATTTTTTTTTTTTTTGGCTTCTAGGTATTTTTTCCCACAAGACTGTAAACATTAGTAGGACAAAGCACTTATTGGTTTTACATTCAGTGTTACTGGCCACGGGCAGTTCAATTCCTGATCCATTGCAGTGAACCCTGGGCAAAAGTCACCAACAATGCAGAGTCTTGGGACTTACTCCATTATCTACTCTTAGGTGGAGTTCTGGGATCTGTAATGTTAGTGCTTAGAGATGTACTAAAGTCTTAAGACCATTCAAATTTGTGAATGAGCTACACACTTACAGAAGTAACTAGAGTCATCAAAGCACAATTACTGCAAGGTTGCCTGAAATGTTAAAAGTATTAGAGTGAAAATCTGAAAGTTTCCACTTTCACTATATAAATAGAATGAGCTCTATCCAAAATGAAATGGAAATGGCTAACACTAAAAGTGATTATAGAATATTTTAATACCCCTTACATAAATATGACATATAAATTCCTTAAAATAACAGGATTCAACTTATTTATATACTTAATTCCTAAGATGGTACCATGAATGTAGTGTACACATTAAAATGTTCCCGCCAGCTTGAATCACTGGTATATTCACGACTGTCCCATTGGATGGGAAAGACCTTGGATGGGACAGTCATGTATGTATGGGCTCACAGTGAATGTATTAACAGCTTAAATAAAATAATGAAAAGAGCTGATCCACCAAATTGACAAAGGTACAAAGATTCTTAAAAAGAAAAAAACAAAATTGAGTCCAAATGAAAAATTTAGAATTAAGAGGATTTTTTTTTCCATTACCCACTGAAAAAATACTGGGTACTTCCTCTGTGCTAGTAGGTGCTGTACTAAATATCTGTTAGTAGAATATTGGGAAAACAATGGACATAGTTCCTTCTGTCATGGACCACTAAAACTAATCTAATGATAAATAACATGAAGGTGCTTTGAGAACTTATGCAGAGGAATCTTCCCTGGGTAGAAAATGAGGTGAGGTGTCAGAGAAGCTTTTTCTAAGAGATGACTAGTTTAAAATCTGCAGCTCAAATGGCATTAACCTAGAAGGAGGGAAAATTCCAGGAAGGAAAAATCATACCGTGTTTCTCCAAAAATAGGACCAGGTCTTATATTAATTTTTTGCTTCAACAGATGAAATAAGGCTTATTTTCCGGGCATGTCTTATTTTTCTCATGTACAACATTCGACATACTGAATTATGAAGATTCATATTAGACACAACTGCATCCTTGTGCATGTTACTCATGTGTTGTTTCTGTGCTCTGATTGTTCACCTGGCAGTAAGTCTCAATTCATCTGTTTACACAAGCGTTTATCTCTCATCCAAAGATCCCTGCTTGGGTATTTACAAATACTTAATTATAATTTATGCTATTATTTATTTTATGTATTAATGCCAATAATATTTGTTTACATTTAATTATCTATTAATATTATTATAATTCAATATGTTTGTTCTGTGTTGCAGCAAATGTACTGAATGTGACTGTCTGGCTGATGATCTTAGCGGGGCCTTATTTTGGGGGTAGGGCTTATATTACAAGCATCCTGAAAAATCATGCTGGGGCTCATTTTCTGGTTAAGCCTTATTTTCAGGTAAATATGGCATCTAGAAGGATGCGAGACAAGGGAAACTTAGCATTTTAGGAAATGAAAAATGGTCTATGAGATGGGAGCATAAAGAGTGAAAGGACATTGCAGGGAAAACAATCCAGAGAAACAAGGAGGGAGTAACTGTTTAGCAAGTGGGGTAAAGATGTGTGTCCAGTTAAACACAACAGGAAAGTGGTTTTTTTTTTTTGATACCAGGGATCGAACTCAGGACCTTGCGCTTTCGAGGCAGGCACCGGAACCACTGAGCTAAATCCCCAGCCCAGGAAAGTTTAAGAGTATTTTAAACAGGGATTTGATAGGATTCGATTTGCATTTTATAAAGATTATCTTGGAAGGCTAAATTATTGAACATGGATGAGATGTGAAAGCTAGAGCAGGCAGACATGACAAACTGGAACCCACTGCATTCCTCTCAGTGGCTGTGACAGTGAAAGTACAAAAAAATGAGATATTTTAAAATATCAATACAACTTTTTCCCTTTTTTCTTCTCACTTATCAGTCTAAACTAATCTTCATCTTTCTCGTTTTCTCAAGTTGGGACTTAACTACAGTCATTTCTTGCTTCTTGGATTGGTTCAACTTAATTAAATAGTTAAACATAAATAGCTAGAAAATTTTATTATTAGAAGAGTTGGGAGAAAAATAAGTAAAGCAAATAGTTGCTGAATATTTACTTAAATGTAGTGATTCCTTCCATTTTACCATGACATGTTCGAATTTCTTGCTTGGGTTTAAGACTCTGAGGTGGAAGAACTTTGCCATACATAGGATATTTTTCCGAATATTCAGTTGTGGGGCAATACATGCCAGAACTTTCATAAATCCTTGTGGTTCCATGTGGACAATGATGTCGCCTGTGCAAACAAATAGACTGAAAGATTATTGTGCCTTAAAAACCATTTTGTGAGATTATTTCATTTTAATCAGAGACCTGTAAGGAACTCAGAATGTGTAAACTTCAGAGTAGCTTTACTAAAAACGACTTCCCTCTACAGTGATGTTTACAAAAACAATGAATAAATTAGTGTACCCTTGTGTGGTTAAAAAACATGTTTTACTCTTGTAATAAATAAGGGTCATGTTATGGTTCAAACCATGGGAAAGCTTGCACTTGCATTTTCTAGACCCTTAGTAGCCAAGATCCCCACAGAACTTAGGCTTTACCTGTTCTGCACTCACATGATGCCCACTCACAACAGAGCTACCCGAATGAGGGGCACACGCCTTCTGTCTGCAGGGATTGTGGGAGAAGCACAGTGAGTTTTCAGTCAGGCAGCATTCTGATTTGCAATGTGATTCCCTGACTTGGAAGAGATGAGTTATTCTGGGGCCTACGGTTCTTTGCAGTTCTCTGTTGTGGCAGAAGTAGTGGCTCCCTTCACAGTCCAGTTGTATGGTGAGATTTTTGGGTATTTTTTCTGGAAGCTTATTTTCAGTTCTTCCAAGTGAGTCATATATATTCTTTATACTGTCAATGTAGTTTGGGCATAAACTTACCAGTGTGTATTACATTGTTCAAAACTAAGAGTCTTGGACCAATACAGTACTGTGCCACATGATGACATTTTGATTAATGACAAACCATATACATGACAATGGTCATGTAAGATCATATTGCCTAGTGATGTTATAGTTGTCTTAGTTTGTGTAAGTACACTCTATGAAGTCCACACATGGACTAAATCATTACTGATGCCTTTCTCAAGGTGTATCCTCATTCTTAAGTGACACATGACTGGAAAGCATATAAGCAGCTGCTGAAGAGAATGAGGGTGACCAGCATGGCTGCTAGAAGATGCAAAGATTGTAAATAGTAAAAAATATGAGTTGTAAAACACCATGTACAGAGTGTGCTCTCATATTTTTAAAATAAAAAGCAATGTGTGTGTAAAAAAAGCCTTAAGGAACATTTATTATCTGTGATGGAAAAGATTATGAGGTATTTTCACTGTATAAATTTCCATCTAACAAAAGAGACAAAACTTTAAAAACAAATGTAACAAAAAATCCAAGTGAAATATAACTATCTGTTTCTCAAGTCTGGTACACATGGAGATCCCAGCTGTGCAGTGAGGGCTGACAACAAGCGCCAGCTGAAGCTGGGCCTGGAGAGAATGTGTGTGCTGTGCGGATGAGTCTGAACAAACTAACATGACTGAACCCAATGGATGCCCAGGAAGAAAAGAAGAGAAATGTTTCTCTGCTTGGAGGCTGCTGGACAGTATGAAGAGTTACGGCACAGGGAGAGTAAAGAAGTGGTGTCACAGATGTCTAAGAAACTGGGGAGTCAGGGATTCAGGAATATCAGCTGAAAATGGAGGCTGTGGGGAGCGCTGAAGTGGGTCAGTGCTGAATAGGCCCAAGAAGAGCAGGTTATGTAGTGTGTGCACACACAGACATTCTGAGAGAGGTGTACTGAGTTACAAGAGCCAAGTCAAAGTTTTGGGATTTGTCATTGTTTTTATTTTCCATGAAAATGAGATATTCACATTGTAATAAACCAGTGTGAAAAATTATAAAGTAAAGCAAAACTTTCTAGCCCAACATTTCCAATCCTCAGAAGAAAATTCTTTATTATTTCTGGTTTTTATTTTCCTGGAGGCTACACCTATAACACTCCTTTGAATATCTAGATTTATCAGCTTAAATTCCTAACTTTTCAAATATTAACATACAGATAAAGATTTAGTTAATTTATACCACCCACATTCATTTCTCACTACTGTATGGTCATTCATTCATTCATTGAGTATTTAATGAACAACAACTATGCAAAGCTATTCAGGATAGTATTAAGAAAAGGGAAAACATTCCTTGTTCTCTTTGACTTTATAACCTAGATGGAGGGTAGAGTGGAGAGAGCCAGTAACAAAAAAATTGGAAAAACACATAGTATATCCTGAGTGCAACAGAAAACAATAGAACAAGGAAGTGGAATAGAGTGTGGAGTAGGGCAAAAAGGTTGCCATTTCAGAGAGTATGATATGTGAATAAAAGTCTAAGTGATAGGGTCTTTCATTATATTTGAGCCTTACTTTTTTCTAACATCTCCAAACTTTTCTCCCCAACATAAAAGAACATCAACATAGTTTAATTCACATAAAAATTGCATAGACACATGGTAGAGAAAAATATGTTAGAGATGCATGGTTGCTTTGACCTACTTTCCTAATGTGGGGAGAAAAAAGAGAGTCTTTGCCAGTAAACTGACAGTAGTGGAAGTAGGTCAAAACTTCCCTAAAGATTATTTCTTTAAAAACAGGGCTTTTGCACTGAGCTATATACCCAGCATCTATCTTTCTTTCCTTTCTCTTTTTCCTTCTCTCTTGCTCTCTCTCTTTCTTTCTTTGTGTATTTATTTATTTATTTTGAGACACAGTCTCACTAAGTCACTAAATTGTTCAGAAGCAATCCTCCTGCCTCAGTCTCCAAGAGTACTGGGATTATTAGCATAGACTGCCAGGCCCAGCTCCACCTGTTTTATTCCAAGCAAGTAGTCAAAACTTTTATATACCCTTGTTGGGATATTGTCAGGACAGGGAAGAACAGCTGTCTGAGCCCAGCAACTTCTCCTGTTTTGTAAAAACCAGTTCATGGAAGAGATGAAGTCAGGTGTCCCTTATGGGAGATGAAATACAGTTAGCTGTCTTTTATTGTCATGAGGAAATTGACAGAGTTGGAACAAATGAGAAGGAAAAAGTATCTCCCCTCCCTAACCCTATGGAGAGAGGGGGTAACAGATGAAGGGGAAAGGGTTGTGATTAGGGTGGGGAATCTGCCTCAATCCATGTCACTGTCCCAGGAGATAGTCAGATCTCAAGAGCTGGCTGAGTGGATCCCTGCAACAACAGCTTCTAGGTTGGTCAAAGATTTCTGCACACAAACAAAAGCATCAGAGGCTCTGCTCTTGAAGGAAATATGTGAGTTTCAGTAAGGGACTTTTCAGTGGATGCCATGCAGTGTTCAAACCCCAAGCAACTCCACCTTACATCAGCAATGCCTCAGCTCCTTGCATCATTGAACTACTTGAAGAAAGAGGAATGAAGACTGAATTTCCTGGATGGGACAGGATCTTAGATTGAAAATAAATTAAGATTAGAAAAGAGATTAAAAATTTTTCTTGTACATCGTAGTTTGAAAATTCATACCTGAAAAGTTAATTTATCTTTTAATCTATATCTAATTACAATGTTTATTATTAATATAACAGAAAACCTGCTTTCCATCAGCGGGCAGATGTTTTTTCTTTGAAGGAGATTACAATAGGAAGGAGGTGTGGCACATTCACATTTACTTAGCAAATAATCTAATCCATGCATCAACAGTGAAGCTGAGGGAGAAGACATTTGTGTTTACAGGTCCTGGAAGGTTGTTAGGCTGGGCTCACGGGCCAATTCTGGGTTTCAGGGTGGGGACTGCTGCCTTTCCTGTTAGGCAAATCCTAAAGGAGCGCTGTCTGGCCTGGAGGATGGAAAGCTGGAGATGGAAGAAAGTGTAACATGGGTTGCAATCTAATAGCCTGTGCACCGTTCTTTCTAATTAATTTTCTAGTTAATTTTGTTGTACGGCATGCACACTCCCAGCCGAACCAGACCCCTCCACTAACCAGCCTCTCACATCCGCCCCTGGCTCATACCTATTATTTACCTGGCCCAGGTGGTATTTAAGTTAACATCCCTGGACAGGAATCTCAGGGACCACGAAGAAGTGCTCTGCCCAGTAGCCAGAAGGGCGGAGAGATCCACCAATCGCGGGTCCGGATAAGCAGGGAGTCTCTGTGCCCTCGTCACTTCAGGTCCCAGGCCCCCCCACCCCCCCGCGTGCCCGCACCCAGCTGTGTCTTACCCGCAGGTGCAGATTTGACACAGACACCGGCTCCTCATACTCGCGGATCCCAGGTCCTCTTCTACGCCTCTCTGCTTCCACAGCGCGGCCGTCGTCAAGGCGACCGCGGGACCCAGGAGACGGCCGCCACGCCCACTTCCGGTGGCGTCCCTGGCGTGCGCGGGTTAAAGGTCGCGTCCGGCCCCGCCCCTCGCGCGCTGGGGGCGGCTCGAGTTCTGAGGCCGCTGTGAAGTGACTGGAGGAGCCGGTGAGTGAGGGCGGGGAAGAGCGTGGAGCCGGGTGGGGTCGGGGTCAGCGTCGGGCCTACAGCTGGGGCTTCATGCGACCTGAAATCCGCAGAGAGATCGCAGAGACGGAGGGAGTGTGGTGCCGATGTGCTTCCCCTTTCATTCGGGAAGCCGTGGACGGTCGGCGGCGCACCTGTTTGGGTCCTCAGTACGTGACCCAAAACTTCACTGGGTTCTCTAGACAGTCCTAAAGCCCAGCGCTCACTTCCGGTGGCACCGCGCCGGAGAAAAGGTGAGGGACTCCGGGACAGGGGCAGAGGGGCCAGGAGGACTGTGGGCATCTCGGCTCCTCCCTGCTTGCCACCGACTGTCCTGGGTCCTCACGGGCTTGACAAGTTGACCGGACCGCGGGCCCCTGGCAGGTGTTACCGCACCCTCCCCCGCGCGCTGCGTGACCCGGAAGGGCGCGCTACTCCTTAGTGCCTCCGTGATCCATTAACTTTGAGCTGGGCCTGGGACTGAGCCTGGATAGGTGTATCCCATCAGGAAACGTTCATGGGCTTCTTCAAGGTATCTGAGAATGTTTGTCAGCACCCAGCGTTTCAGTTTCTTTTGCCTCAACTTTTAGCCCTTGTGTCATTCCTAACGCATGCTTAATTTCCAGTCCTGGGAAGTGAGTAACCATGGTGCTCAATAGTTTGGATAAGATGATTGAACTCCAGAAGAACACTGCCAACATCAGGAACATCTGTGTTTTGGCTCACGTTGACCATGGTAAGAATCTTTTTTAAGTGGCTTGTTCTCTTTAATAAAGGAGGCTTGCCTCTACATGTTTCAGTGGATGACGCTGTGGGCATTTAAGAGTGATGCTTGCTAAGAAGGCATTTCCTTTAAAATTTTGTGATGTCAGAAGTATGCGGTAAATGCAGGCATTGAAATAAATGCAGTAAACTAGTGATTAATGTTCTGTGTAATCTGTCACTTGGTTTTTGAGCAGAATGAAGCAGGACAAGTTGAGATAGACGTGAGTGGAAAGACTGTAGGTTGAGAGAACTAGAGGACTGGAAAGCGAGGGTTGAGTTAAGAAAAAACTTTACAGCATAATTGGTATCACACAAGTGGTAACTTATTTGCAGAAGAAGAAAATACATGAAGCAATAAGGCCAGGGATAGCTGATGTGTGGTGTATATGATTCTGGCAGACATTACTGTAACACCATATCACTGCTTCATGCTCAGCTTACTTTGGGTTTCAGACTACTTCTGCGTTCTGGTAGCCACAGCAAAGTGGAATGGGCATGTAAAAGAAAACTTACCTTGAAGGGGAGGGAGCATTAGAGAAGTGAAGAGGCAGGCTGGTCCCCCACTAGGCACAAGGATAAGGATTAAATGCTCCAGCTGACAGCCTGAATTCAAAACTCCTTTTTAAGTTATTTTGCCTCTTTGAGCTTCAGTATATATACACAGCATGAGTAAAATAGGATGAAAATCATACTGTATAGCAATGGTGGTGAACCTATAGCACTAGTGCCACAGCAGGCAGTTTGTTATCATTGAAAGCTCTAAAACGTTTGCCATCACTGCCTTATATGATGTGAGGATTAAATGTAATGATAATGAGAATCCTTTGGCAGGAAAATAAATAATTCATGATTTTCCTTTCTATTAGGTTGTGGTGAGCCAGTAGGAGAAAAAATAAAGCAGGTGTGATATAATCAAATGGAAGATTAGGGTAGACACGTGAAAGTGTTTAAGATGGATAAAAAGGAGCAAAGAGGCTAGTTAAGTGGCTCTTGTCATTGAGACAAGAGCTTGAGTCTGAGTACTGAGCGATAATGGGTCACTTTGTAGGTGAAGCCAACTAAGATTGAGTTTTTTATACCAGTCCAGTGACTGACTATTCTCTGTGAAGTTTTATAATTAATTATACTGCACATATTTTGATGGTATGAAGTAAGACAAGGTGTTTGTGTGTGTGTGTGTGTGTGTATGTGTGTATTAATATGTTCACAATGGGGCCTACATGCATGACTGTCCCAACAAGTGGCTTGTGGCACCTGGTGGGACTGTCCCATGCTGCCCAATAGGGAGGACAGTCGTGCATGTACCACTGGTGGTTCAAGTCAATAGGGACATGTTAAATTATGTGGAAAATGACTGCTGTGTGTATGTACATTATAAATTACTTTAAATTTACTCTTTAAAATTAAGTCAAACTGGTACTGTCCTAGAAAACCTATGATTCATTTTATTTATTCAATAACAATTGAAAGGCTACTATTAGGGCTTGTGTCTAGATGTCCCCCCAAAGCCTCATGCAGTCAAGGTGCGGCTTTTCACAGGTGGCTGGATCTAGAATGTGTGACACTGGAAATGATTCATGGTGCAAGGCTACATGTTAAAGGCACTAGGATTAAGGGTGTGAGTGCTACCCACCCTCAGGGCTGGAGGCCTGGATAAGATTTAAGGGACCAAAAGAGGCTTGTCACTCATCACTTGCTTGTTTCTGCTGTCTTCTGCCTGCCATGAACTGTTTCTCCTCTGTGATGCTCCTCTGCCTTGTCACCCTGCCTCGTAGCCAGCCAACTGTGAACTGAAACTGCTACACACTGCAAGCTAAATAAATCTTTCCTCCTTTAACTTTGGGTGTCAGGTATTTTGTCTAGAAATGAGAAAAGTCATTGAGATAGTTACTATATGTCAAACATTGTTCTGGTCCTAGGGATATGGCCATGAATAAAGCAGTGCCCCTGCTTTCTTGGTTCTTATGTTCAATGGGGGTTATATTTTTCCATATATAGGATGAATTCTACTTTATTGGGTAGCAGGAAAGTGTTGCTGTAGGATTACTTGCTAACATAATATTCACATGGCAAACAGATACCACATTATTAAAGATCTTCAGTTTTTCCATTGATCTCTGGTTTAAACTATTACTCAGATTCCATAGCTTTGCTAAAGTTCCTAGAGTGTGGTAAGGACTTATTAAAGAAAAACCTCTCCTTTTGTTAGAGCAACTCAACTGCAGTAATTATGTGTACTTACGCCATTTTTTAGACAAAATTACCTGTTTGTACCACTTGAAATTGGTGGACTTTAGTGGTAGTCTAATAAAGGTAACCATGAATGTACACGTGGAGTGTACAAAGACTTATAAAGTGGAGTCTAGGGTTAGGTTTGTATATGAGGTTGCTGTGGAGGCTACAGTGTAGCTGATGCCCTCTGCAAACTGTATTTCAAACAGTAGAAGATGGGTAAATTTCCTTACTGAATAACATTAGTTTAACAGTTTTAACTGGAAAATTCCAAGTAAGGTCATACATGGGGAAATGTGACAAATACTGTTTTACCCAGAGTACCTTTCAGAGACAAAAGTTGCTGCTGTCCTTTTGTCATTCTGAGCTATCAGGGGCTTAAGTTTATAAACATAGTCACTAGTATAGATATCGGGTAGTTAATAATAATAATTGTGGTAAATTTGACCAAATTCTTATAGGACAGATGAGTCAGAAGTGCTCTGTGTTTTGATTGGCATGATGATTTGCCTCATCAGTTAAAAGTCTGTGCACATTATTTAAAGTCTGTCTCAATTTAAGAGTCTTGTGCTTTAAAAAGTAGGGCCGGGGATTTAGCTCAGTGGTTTTGCTGCCTGCTGCGCAAGCGCAAGGACCCGAGTTCAATCCCCGGTACCAAAAAATAAAAAAAAATAAATAAAAAGTTGCCCGCTAATTTTCCAGGTAAGTGAATGGAATCTTCAGCAAGACTAAGTTTCAGCACAATAGAGTATCAGCATTTCTGACCTTCAGGTGGTATTCTGTTCACACATCTATAGTACTCTTAAAATGTCTCTTTTGTCTTATGGCACTTGGTGTAGCTAAATAAGAAATTTTTGTGAAACTAATTTTTATGACCAGACATTAAATATGTAGGAGCAATCTATCCTCTGACCTCTTTTTTAAAAGATATAGATTCTATAGGAAGAAAAGGTCTGAAGGAGTAGGGGAAGTGGGAGGGGTAGGGAAAAGGAAGAAGGGAAAAGAAAAAATATGAGAAAAGGAAAAAAATTGAAACAAAGACTTTGTAAATAGAGAGGGGTGGAGGGAGTGAGGGGAGGACAGGGGCATGGGGAAAAAATAAGAACCAAGATACGTTATGTAAAGGTATAAGATCCCAATGATGAATGTAACTGTATTGTATACCTAAAATGTACCAATGAACTTCATGGGAAAAAAAAGCTATAGATTCTAATTAATGTTATTTTGACAGGAAAAACTACTCTTGCTGATTGTCTCATATCTAGTAATGGAATCATCTCCAGCCGACTTGCAGGCAAGGTATGTTATATTTGATCATTATTTGTTGCATTTCAGAGAGTATTAACTCTCTACAAAGTCACGAGCCATTTGTTTTGTTCTTTAGTGGTCCAATAGTATAAAACATAGTACTTACACCCAGCATGGTGCACATACTTTTAGTTCCTGCACTTTGGGAAACAGGCAGCAGGATCACAAGTCTGAGCCTAGCCTGGACAACTTATCAAGACTCTTGTCTCAAAAAAAATGTTTTTTAAAGGCTGGAATGTAGCTCAGTGTGAAGGCTTTGAGATCTATCCCCAGTACCACAAACAACAATAACAACCAAACATAGTTACAGGCCAAAACCTTGGCCTTTATTGTGGACACTGAAGCTTTGTAAAAGCCAGTGAAATGGTGATAATCAATACTGTCTACTACTGTTTAAAAAAAAATGTTTAAAAATCTGTAAACTTGGGAAAAGGAATAAAAGCTTCTTATGCCCTTAGAAACTTTCTCTGCTTAGACTATGTCAGTTAACCTATGAACAGGAAAAGAACAGCTATGTTTGTGGTGAACAGAAGGAATTCCTGCACATGCTGCTTTCTGAATTTTCCTGGACTTCTCAGTCATTCTTTACTATAGTTTGGATGCACAGCAGTCTGGGAGATTACACAGTGTGGAATACATTTGAGTCCTAGAGGTACTGAGGTACTGACTTTCATCTGTGTTTTCCTTCCCCTACATAAATTTTCCTTCTCCATCCAGCCCCCTGCCCCTTAAGAAAAAACAAAAAACAAAAGGGCACTCTGTACTAATCTATACTAGTTTACAAGTGTTTAAAACAAAAATTAGCCTGTTTTAATGTTGCATTTTAGTTGAGTGGAAGTAAGGAAGTACGTACTGTGTTTTTCCAGTTAAGGTACATGGACAGCCGAGAAGATGAACAGATCCGAGGGATCACTATGAAATCCAGTGCCATTTCACTACATTATACAAAAGGTAAATTGATCTTTGTTTTAAAGAAGCACAACTTTGCGTCTTTCTTGCCCTCCTTTCTTTCTGAATTAATTGCATGCTTCTGTTTCTTTGCCTTAGAGTCCATGAATTTTATTATGACCTCTTCCAACAACCTGTTCTAAGAGTGAGGCCATCTAGGCCTGGATGCAGATGGGGACCTCTGTCTGGCTCAAGAGCAGAAGAGCTGGCAGTTTATATCTCTCTCCTACCAGGGGATTGTGTGGATATCTTCACAGGAAAGTTAGGAGCCCTGGGCTTTGCTGGCTTGGCCTTGATGTTCCTTTTCCTGGCTGAATCCTTGATCTGCCCCATTGTCTTCAAATTAGATTTGGAGTCTTATTTTCTCAACTATGAACTACCGTGACCCCAAATGAGGATGTCATTATTTTCATAACACTTCCAGGAATATTTCTGACAGAAATAGTCAAACCGGTGTGAGAAGTGTATCTTCACTGATATTCACCAAAAAGTTTGTATTAATGAAAAAAATACCAACAAGCTAAATGTTAGTAGGAGAGTGGTTAAAGAAATTGATATATCCATGCTGTGAAGTATTATGCAGCTGTTAAAACAAATGCTTGATCTAAGTAATGATACAGAAAAAAGGTATAAGAACCAAAAAAGCAAGTTGCAGACTATTTTTTTTTAAGACATGAATGTGTTTGGTTAATAAAATATGTCTGCAGATAAGGTGTCTGGGAGGATACATACCAAATCCTTAACATTATGTCCAGGGACTGAAGTAATGCATCATTTTTTAAAACCACCTCTCACATTTATGTTCTTTTTCAGTGATCCAGAGAATGGGACTGTCTTAGTTACTTTTCTCATTGCTGAGACAAAATACCTGACACCTGAAGTTAAAGGAGGAAAGGTTTATTTGACTCACAGTTTGTGGAAGTTTCTTTTCATAGTTGGGTGGCTCCAAGGCAGGGTGGCATCAGAGAGGCTTCCCAGAGGAGAAACAGTTCATGGCAAAGCAGGGCAGACAGAAGGCAGCAAAGCAGAGAAGTAGCAAGTGACTCTCTTTCTGTCCCTTATAGTCCATCCAGGCTACCCACCCTTAGGGCAGTATTACTCCCAATATCGGATACCCTTAATCTCAGCATCACATTTTAAATCCCAGCATCCTACACCCTAGATCCAGCCACTTCAGAGAAGCCCCACCTATGATCACATGAAGCTTTGGGGGATATCTAGATACAAGCCATAATGGGTCAAAAATGTGTCTATTTCTTATCTCCTTTTATAGACCTCAAGAGCTTTGTGGGCTTTCATAGTCTGTGCTCATGTTAGCAGTCTGTTTTTACTTGAAGACTCTTCTAGTGTCAGATTTAGTTTCTGTGCTCTAAACTGTCTCTTGTCACCATCACCTTCCTTTTTATTTTATTCAGGTTTAACCTGACACACTATAAAATTCACTCAATTGCACTTGGAGAATGGCCCCAGGACCTTGGGAATTGAATGATTTGGCATTTCTTGTCCAGTTCTGTGACCTTAGGCAGCTCACTCTCAGATTTTTTAGTTATGCTTCCTAGAGTGCACAGAAGAGACATGTAAACTAGCTTGGGTTGTAGTGGGAAGGCTTATTGAAACAATATATGTGAAATGATACTGGAAATGAGATAGATACATGGAAATTTTTTTCTTTCTTTGTGGTTAGGGGATTGAATCTAGGGCTTTGTGTGTGCTAGGCAAGTACTATACCACTGAGCTACCCCCAGGCACCACCCCCCAACATTTTTAAGTTTTTGAAATTTTGAGATGTGGTCTTTGTAAGTTGCTCAGCTGGCGTGGAACTTGCAGTCCTTCTGTGTCAGCCTCCTGAATAGCTGGGGAAAATGGGAGTCTTTGGGATAATGTCTTTTTGAAATTGGAGTCAGATTTGAATTCTGGAGCCAAGATGGCCCCAGAACCACATCAGTGAAAGTTGATGGACCTTCCCTCAGGAACTCCACTGTTGTCCTTGGGTTTGGTTGTTTTCATCTTGGTTGTTACCTTATATATCTTTCTCTTGAAGCTTTGGCTTACTTGTCCAATGAGGACAGAACTTGGAAATGTTGACTGAGCCATCGGCTCTCCCAACACCTAAGAAATGAGATACATTTTTCTGTTTCGCTTATTATTGATGATTCAGAGTAGGGTATTTCGTGCTCTGATAGTGGGTGAGTGGAAGGAGAACTGGATGGGACGGAAGCTGAAGAAACTCCACAGGTGACTTTTAGTTACCATGCTCCTCTCTTTCCTGCCCTCTCTGAATGCCTTCTTAGTTGTGAATCTGTATACTAAATCTGAATTAAGTTGTTTCTCTTTCTTAATTTTTCTGACTCTTAAACCAGCTGCAAAAAAATTTTTTAATCCTTACTTGGATTGAAATATAAGGTCTTATTAACAAACAAACAAGCTACAGCAAGCATGTATACTGTAGAGATGCTGAAAACGGTCAAAGTGGTAGTCTAGCATTTTCCCGGGGTCTAGTTCTTCATTGAGAAAATGGAGCCTCTCTTCTTTACAATTATGACCAACATGTGCTACAAATTTTGGAATCATATTGGTAAACCTTGTTATTTTTCTGTTTCTTATCCACCTCTTCTTGTGTGTGTCCTGTAAGGATACCATTCCTTTATCTTGTCATTTCAAGAGTTATAGAAAGTGTATTGTTGGGAGTATTTCCTAAGAGATCGAGAGGCAATAGAATGCCTTTGAATTCTTTAGCTTAGAATCCAGCTATAGAAAAGGACTATATTCAAATCGTTTTAAGAATTGGAAATTCATAGACTGCACTTTGAATAGTTTCAAAAATGTGCATTCCTGTCCTTTTTACTCTAGCCAGTCATTTTAACTGTAAGGAAATTTTGCTGTTGCAGAACTTTGATGTTTTTATTCTAATTCATTTGTTTGGATATTTTAAGTAAACTTACAAGTTTATGTTATAGAAAATTATCGTATATTCTATAATAAAATATCATACACAGGAATGAAATAGAGATCAGTTTTACCATGTTATTTAAAATTTTTATTTTTAACTCAATCAGAATTTTATGCACACATATGTGGATATACTGTGAAGTAAATACCTAACTTAATGTTCCTTCCAAGTAGCTTATTCTAACACCTGTAGTCAAATATGATTTCTAAGTACTGTATTATTCATTCTTGAACAAAGCTGGTATTAGTGCCTCTGTGTAAGTGGGGCATCTGGATGGGGTGTTAAGGACTGGAGAGTGAATTGTGCCTACCTGTGGTGGACCTTCCACACTCCTTTGGTGATGGTCATCACTGTTTATATCAGCTGATTAATGCTTTGTGGAAATTTGTTTTTTTAAGATTTTGAGTAATTTTTTAAAATGTTGTCAACTTATTTAAAAATTGTAAAATCCCATGCAGAACATACTGCAGTGGACTTTAGTTTATTAGGGTTAGTAACTTTTGGCGTTTTGGCTAGCTGATGACTTTGTTCAGCAGGACACTTGGATTCTCCCACGTGGCAGCCACATATAGCCAGGGTTGCTCCAGAAGTGGAGACCAGAGGTACAGCAGGTGTCTGCAAGGAGGTCCAAAGGCAAGGTCATCTCTGGAAACAGCTCTCTCTGGCTCACTGCTGGTGGCCAGGTACAGGACTGACATCCATGCTGGTTTCAGCTCTGTGGCTCTCTGGTCTTGCTCTCCAAAGGCAGGATATGGGGAACTGATTGGTGCCATCCAGAGTCAACACAAGGCCAGCATATGCTAGAAAGTCTTCTTTCTCAGTCAGCAGCAGGTACCTACCTTTCCTCCTGGCTCTGCAACTGTTACCTCATGATCCTGATGATTGTCCTAGTTCTTTGGAATTGGGGCTAGGAGGAAGAGTTCTGATGTCCTTCCTTTGAGGAAAGGTCAGACTTTTTTTTTTCTCTTTAGATGGTAAATGCTGTATTTTTCTGAAGCTTGCAGTTTATGCCAGGCCAAAGAGATTAGGTGCCTGATAGTGTAATTCAGAGCTAGGTATCTTGTACACATGGCTATGTTTAATCCTTACAGCATCCTGTGAGATGATACTATCCTTAATTTAGTTAAATGCAAGATAAAGTTCAGAGAGGTTAAGAAAAAGCAGCTTCTAGAATGCAGTACTAGTTCTAGGAGCAGAGTAATTTCATTTCTAGTCAGTTGACTAGGCTCAGGAGACTTTTGGAGGGCAGTCAACATAAGTCTCTCTCCTTTCACCACAGATTTCTGGGACTGCTTGTCTGCATCTTCTTTTGGCCAGCATTACCCACATCCCTGTTGTCCTTGGTCATGGCTCAAGCTGGAAGCCTCATGATCTGGCTTGGCTTTCAGTTTCTTCCCCGTGTTTCCTTGTGGTTCTGACACCCTCCCTCCACCTCCTACCAGACCTCATTCTGAGAACGTTCTGAGGTGAATAAACATCCCTTCATCCTCAGTATCTTTTTTATTGGTATCCCTTCCTCCTCCTGCCTTGCTGTCTTCTGACAACTCTGTTTTCCTGATACTTCTTTCAAATGCATGCTGTTTGTTTCTGCAGGGCCCTTGTATCTGTGGGCAGAACATCGAGTTGCCATTCTTCTTGTCCTAACACTAATCGCAAAGCTTCATCCCTCATTCTTGTGTTAAAACTCCTTTTGGGAGTCCTACCATTCTATTCTCCTTTCTTAGCATTATCAGCTCTTGGGCAGGATCCTTATTCATTGATGACTTTGGTACCTGGCTCATGATTTTCCTTTTCACCTGAATTCTCCAATGTAGTTTTACTGTCCTGGAGGATGACTTTAACAGCTTGCTTTCTCAACAGCAGGGTTATTCTCTCTTTCCCCAACCCACTGCCATGGCTATTTTTTGCATTTTAACATTTCCTAGAACTATGCATCTTTGACAGCTCAAATTTAAATACTCCCAGTGGGGTGAGGTGGCATGTGCTTGTACTCTCAGCTACTCAGGCTGAGGAGAGAGGATTACTTGAGCCCCTGAGTTTGAGACAAGTTTGAGCAACATAGCAAGACCTTGTCTCAGCAATAAGAGAAGTCTCTATGTATAACCAACTGAGAAGTGGTGAGCTTACTAGTGAAATCACTTAAAAAAAAAAAAAAGAAAAACAGAATTACTCCCTTCTCCATAATCTTCCATTCTCCCAAGTCTCACCCATCTAGTCAGGTGCACGTTCTTTGACTTCATGAGACTCTCCAGCTTTTTGAGCCCCATCAGCCTCCTCCCTTCACTTCTGACCCATACAGCCCACATTTGTCTTTTCACTGATAGTCTTACCACATACTGCTGGTTCCTTGACCTGCCGTACTCCTCCCATCAGAATTCCAACACCACTTCTTTCTCATATTTGGGTTAGATTCTCAACTTAGGCTTCAGCACTGCAGGCAGCCTTTCCATATCTGCCTTAATAGGTTTTGCTCATTTACCCCACAGCTGTTTGAAACCTTCTGGTGTCTCTGTGCCTGCCCTTCATCTTCTCTCTGCAGTTTCAGAAGACACCCTTAGCTTTGACTTCACTGAAAAGGATTCTCAGTTGCTTGCCACTATACATCAGTGGTATTTTGTGATACCCAGGAAATAAAGCAGCGGACGTTTCTGTTCCTGAATGCTTTAAAACAACACACAGCTCCAGGATTTCTGTTAAAATTGGGAAGATCATTCAGTATGCTTAAAATTTTTTTAATTTGTAATTTTCACTAGCAGTAGTAATAGTATTCCATAATTTTCAATGTATTTTTTTATTTGATCCTCACACAAAGTAGTGGGTGGCATTGAAGAAAAGTTTTAAAACAAAATTGTCTTAAGTCACAGCAGAGAGCTTTGTTATGGACTTTTTTCTCTAATGGATTTGGGATGGCTTTTCCTCTATCTTTGAAAGGTAGTTTGAAGTTGTTGGAAAAGGTTTAGGTGAAAAGGCCACTGAGGCAGTTGGGAGGCCCACCCTAGCTGAACCAACCTGTTCCTCTGTTGGGGTGTGACTGGCCAAAGCACTTTCTCCTCTTCACCCTTGAATGCATAGGAGAAACTACAGGTTTAATAGAGATAGACAGGCTTATTATTATTGTTATTATTGAGCTTCTTAGAATGTTTACTGTGTATGCATGTTCTGAGCTTGAGGGTTAGCTATATTTCCCAAGTTTATTTGTTTACACACTTATTTTTCAGGATGTAGATTTTCACATGGAAACATTCATGTACCACTAGTTTTTTGTTCCCTTGTAGATCTGAACCTACCACCTCTGAATTTCAAAGGGTCTGGAGTTGGATGCATATTTAGGGGTGACATAGCTAGTTCATTTTTCTAAAACTCCTGTAGTACCAATAGATGTGTGCATAGGAGGCCTGAGATCTCTGCATGAGTGCATTTTTAGAATCTTTGAAGGACCAGACAGGAGACCTAGTCTCTTAAACTTCTACTGTATATCAGGTTCAGATAGCTTCTCAAGAAGATGAGGAAGTGTTTGTAATTCTCTCACCTTGAAGTTTGGAATTTAGCTAAGAAACAATCAAGTGTAGTTTCTCAGCTGATCGAAGAAATGACAAAGACCATTAGCTAGAACTGGACATGCTTCTGGCTTGCTGCTTTTGTGACCTTGGGTAAATATCTTACCTTTAAGGGGTAAACAGCATTTCTGAAGTGAAGGATTAGGCCAAGGAAATTCCAAGTGATTACAAGAATCTCACAGCTTTTGCTTTATACAATAGGACTCTGGACCATGCTAGACTTGCTCATTTTTCTTCTGCTGATTTGATTGATTCCGTGTCATGTGTCCAAGAGGCTGATGAGAAGAACTGGTTGTGAGTGAGGTCTGACAGGAGGCTGGATTATGCATAGTGGGCCCTTGCTCCAGAGCCTGGAAATTTGACTTGATTTTCTTTGGAGCTGTCCACAGATTTTGGTGGAGCTTTCTCTAGTAGCTGAATGGGGCCAGAGTCCCTTACAAAACACTTCACCTAAAAATACCACCGAGTGGGGCCAGTGGTGCTGAGGAAGGTGGTCTCCTGTGAGCCCCCGGGAAGTCCTTCCCATACTTTTTCTGGGTTTTACCACCCGCTGAATCCTGGCATGTGGGGTGACACTGCCATCCTCAGTAGTCTTTAAGGTATTGTCTTTGGAGGTAGATGGATTTGAACTTCTCCATTACTGTGTATTGCTTGATCTCAGGCATTTAAGCCCAGAGTCACATTCTAGCTAGATAGCCCTAAGACAGATACTTATCTTGTCTGTGCCCTGGTGAGCTACTCTGTGAAAGGGGCCCGTGCAGGAAATGACTGTACAGTTGCAGTACACATCATATACTTAGAACTGTGCCAAGCATAGACGGGCAATCCTTAAATGGTAGCTCCAGCTGTGGTACTGTTTTTTGTTTCATCATCATCGTACCATTTGGGGCATAAATCAGGTCATTAAAATTACATTGCAACTTTCTTCTTTAAATGGCCTGTAAATTATAACATCCCTATAGTAATTCTTTTTTTGTTTTTTTTAGGGGGGTACCGGGGATTGAACTCGGGTCCTTGCGCTTGCAAAGCAGGTGGCAGAACCACTGAGCTAAATCCCCGGCCTCCTAAAATAATTTTGGAGTACTCTGAGATTAATAAACACTAAGTTAAGGGAGGAGCAAAAGGATATAATTATTTTACTTTTAAAAATGAATTCTGTCAAACTTAGCAGTAACAGGGAATAATTATATAATTGTATAGTATTACTATTTTTCATGTGATTCACTAGATTATGTTTTGAGGCTAAATCTCTGTGACCTGGGGTGACCAGTTGTTCTGGCTTGGCTGGGACTGTGGGCTGGATAGGCTGTGTGAATGTTAGTGCCAGTCAGGGTGATGGTCACATTTGTTGTGACTGTCAAAGATGACAGTCTGTGTGAGAGCACAGAGCACACTGCTTGGCACACAGTTGCTGCTTAAATATTTGTAAAGTTTTTGTGAATTTTTTAGGCTTGAGTTTAGTTCTCATTGAGCACATTTACACACTGCTCTGAGAAGTTACCAGGAAGAACTTAGCCCACCCCTTTGGTTTTTTGAAGTTGGCATTATGGGCTCCTTTGAACAACCTTCATTTATGTCCTGTAGGCACTGGTTTCTTTCTATCTCCACGTCCTAATCTGTAAGAGGGAGGAGAAGAGTGTAATTTTATCTCATAGGGCTGGTGTCAGGGTTCAGTAATGTGATTAGCACATTCAGATTGCTTAGCACAGTGCCTGGCTCACACTAAGTTCTTTTTTTTCCTTGCAGTGCTGAGGAGTAAATCCAGGGCCTGTATGCTGCAGGCAGGTGCTCTAGCACCGAAGCATAGCCCTGAAGCATAGCCCCCCAGCACATTAATCTCTTATTAAGAGATTAAATGTTAGGGTAATCATAAAGTCCTTTAGCATGTTCTGTAGGTGCTGTTTTGCTATATCCCCACAGGGAGAGAAATTGGAATGATAACTCTTGGTTGAGCTGTTGGCTCCTTTAGCTTTGTTTACTCTTTCCTTGGAAGCTTCCTTTATTTAGAATGCCTGAGGAAGAGTAGTCTGTACCTGCACAGCTGAAAATGTGTGTTTTCAAACTTCATTTCAGATAATGAGGAGTACCTGATTAATCTCATAGACTCTCCGGGACATGTGGACTTCTCCTCGGAAGTGTCAACAGCTGTTCGAATTTGTGATGGGTGCATCATTGTGGTAGATGCTGTGGAAGGGGTCTGTCCACAGGTAATGGTGTGGTGAGAGAATACTTAACTGGCTAAATGGTAGGGGAAAGAGGAGAAACTGCTGATTACTGTGGCCTCTTCAGGCATTTTGCTGACAGACAGGTGGGTTTTTATTTAATATTTGATAATGTTCCCATCTGTGGTGGAATTAAATGATCGTTTTGAAGGATCTTAGACATGATGACTTCACCTTAGATCCTTTGAAGTCTCTGTTCTATCCTCTTAGGGATGCAGCATAAATTGGAGGAATGTAGGAGGGGCTGGGGTTCCTGAATTGTTGAGGTGAAAGCATTGGAGGAGCTGGCTCTCTGGCAGATAGGAGGAATTCTCTTCTATTGGCTCCTCGGTCTCCACTTCTGCCTCCAACCAGTCACACGCGAATACTCCTTTCCTACTTCCCTGCCTTCCTCTTCTACTCTTCCAACTCCAGCTAGAAAAATTCACCTGACTACCAGAGGGAACATGGGGTTCTGGTGGAGATGGAGTCCAGAGTACCTACATTTGTTTCCTTTAAATTTTTTTGAAAACTTACATTTTATCTTTTTTTAAAAAAGAATAATAAAAGGTTTAAGTTACTCAGATGGAGGAAATTTGGTATTCAAAGAAGATGAGCTGTGATTGTCCTCTGGCCTCTGCCCTGATTTCTGCTGAGAGCTCAGGTGTCCCCACTGAAGAAGCACAGCCTCTTGTCGGGGTGATGTCTGGGGTGTCCTGGCAGGACAAGTGAGATTAACACACTTGACTTGAGAGTACGAGAACCATAGTTATCTTCAAGAAACCATGTTACGGTCAGGGAGGCGAGCATGTGGTTTCTGGGGGAACATTTTACTTTTTGACCTTTGTGCTGATATTGTGGGTGTCCATTTATAACAATTACCTTAACTCTGTATGTGGGAGGGTGTGTGTCTGTCTATAGACACACATACACATATTTCCACCAGACTGCTGTCTTTATGTGATCTTAATCATCCTTCTTAAATGAGCTGTCAGTTCCACAGTCACAAGGATGATTCTTGCCCATAGTTCTTCATTGCTGTGTTGTACGTGTACTTGTGGAGGCCTCATGTCTACTGGTGTAGTCCGAGCGCTGATAAAAGGATATGGGGATGTATTGGTTGGTAATCAAAATTTCATATGTATTGTAATTACTGCAAATCCTGATTTGTACATTTCTTGTTTTGTTGTTATCAGACACAGGCAGTTCTGCGACAAGCGTGGCTGGAAAACATACGTCCAGTTTTAGTGATTAATAAGATAGATCGTTTGATAGTGGAACTAAAATTCACCCCACAGGAGGCATATTCTCACCTCAAGAATATTTTGGAACAGGTATGGTACTCTTCAGTATTGTAAAAAGTAGGCTTCAATGAAGAGTTGAGTGTGAAGTGTTGCTAACAGAAAATTCAGTTACGTACTCAGAGTTCCTGCTAGAGTCTTCACATGTGACTGAGATAGCAGAGCTATCATGCTCTTGGAAACCCTCCAGTCTCCTAGAGGCATCATACACCAAAAGCTTGGATGGTAGGCTGTCCTTTTTAAGACTGTGGTTTGGTACCATCTGTCTCTAGATGACATTTTATCCAAGCATTTGTTTATTCAGCAGTATATATGTTGTATAAATGAAATATCAAATGCCCATTGTGTGCTAGGGATTGTGAATATCAAGATGGACAGGTAAGAGTCCGTGTTTTCCAAGAGCTCATGGTGTAGTATAGGTGTAGTAGGGGAGATGAACACTTAAAGAAAGATCTGAATGACGTGATCAACTGTGGGTGTGATTCAAGAGCACAGAGAAGGGCCACTTACCCCAGTCTGCATCAAGAGGGAATGGACGAAACATCTGGCTAGGCAAACCTTGAGATGGAAGGAAGGTGAGAGTTGACTAGGTATAGTGAGAGGAAGGACATTCATATTTTTTTTTTTTGTTTTGGTACCGGAGGTTGAACTCGGGACCTTTTCGCTTGCAAGGGAGGCACCAGAACCACTAAGCTAAATCCCCGGCCCAAGAGGAAGGACATTCAGAAGAGCTGGAGTAAGATGTGCAAAGTCATAAGGGCAAGTGAGAGCACAGTACAGTGTTTCTCCCAAGGAAATTGGTGTAGCTAAAGAATTAGATCATATTGAGCAGTGACAAGAGATGGGAGAAAGGAAGGGAAGACATTGATTTTGGCAAGCCTTGTATGGCACTCATAAGAGTTTGACATTTGTTCAAGACAAAAACCATTGACAAGATCAGCTTGAGAACGTTGATTTGCTGAAGGGAAGAAATAATAAAGGTAGAGCCATGAAAAAGAATGTTTGGTGGATTGAGTTCCCTGCAGACGTAGCAGAGGTGTAGAAGTACCTGCCCTGCCAAGAGACCCTAGAGAAGTAACTCCATCCTGCTGGGCAGGAGAAGGGCCAGCAGCCCTTGTGGGTTTGAACAGGCTTCTAGGCTGGAACATAGGGAACTTGCAGAATTCTGAGTAATAGGTTCCATTTTTTGTTTTTGGTAGGAAGGAAGATTATTTATTGGAAGTAAAAATAGTTGGGGATTAGAGGTTGAGAAGAGGACCCAAGAGAGTGGTGAAAATTTCAAATGGTTGATGTGAGAAATGGGCAGAGGAGTTGATGAAGGTCACAAACTAGGGTTTTGAAATTTGGAAACCATAAGTTCCTAGCAGTACTGCTTGCCCAGTACTAAAAATACAAAGATGACACATTAGCATTTACATCAGTAATAATAATCACAAAAATGACCTTGCAAAAGCCTAATTTAGTTTTGGATGGATTAACACACGAAATTAATTATTAATTGATTGTCTCTTCCAGTGAGCCCAAACGATGATGATATAAGTGTCTCCTGCTGGGAGTATGCTAAGCATCTGAGTGATACTCTGCCATTTCACCATCTCTCCTAGATTAACGCACTGACAGGAACACTTTTTACTTCTAAAGTCTTAGAAGAAAGAGCAGAGAGAGAAACTGACTCCCAAGTAAATCCAAATTCTGAACAAGGAGAGCAGGTGTATGACTGGAGCACTGGCTTGGAGGACACAGATGATTCTCACCTTTACTTCTCCCCAGAACAAGGGAATGTGGTGTTTGCCAGTGCCATAGATGGGTGGGGCTTTGGGTAAGTCTTTTTTGGAGTCTAATTAAATCTTTGTGGAATTTACGTAAAGTTAGTTTTTTAATACTTTTTGAGATAATTGTAGATTCACATATAGTTGTAAAAAAATAATATGGAGCATTCTCTTGTATGCCTTACTCCCAGCTCCCATGGTTAACATCTTACAAAACAGTATTACAGTATCACAGTCGGGACACTGACAGTGAAACAGTCAGGGTAGAGAACATTTCCCTGCAAGGACCCCACAGCTCTTATGTTGCCACACCTTTCTACCTCTAGACCTTCCTTACCCTCTGACAAACATTCCTATTTTCCATTTCTATAATTTGTCTTTTCAAGAATGGGATAGAGATGGAACTAAGCAACATGTACCCTCTTCTGCATTGTTTACTCAGCATTGTTGCCTAGCTTGTCCAAATTGTGTGTGTTACTAGTTCAGTCTCGAATGCTCGGAACTGGATGTCTCAGGTTTAGGGTTTTTCAGGTTTTGGAATATTTACACATACATATTGAGATATCTTGGGAATGGAACCCAAGTGTTTTTTTTTTTTTGGCTCATTTGCCTCTTATACACATTGCCTGAAAGTAACGTTCTGCAGTATTTTTAGTATGCCCATGTTTTGACTGGGACCCAGCACATGAGTTCATGTGGAATTTTCTACTTGTGGTGTGTCAGCCCTCAAAAAGGTTAGGATTTGGATTTTTGGATTAGGGATGCTCCACCTATAATAGTTTTTTTTTTTTTATTACTAGTAGCATTCCATGATATGGCTTTATCGAAGTTTAACCATTCACCTTTTTAAAGGTCATCTGTGTTTTTTTCCGATTTGGGATTAATATGTAAGCTAATAGACACATTCATGCACAGATTTTTGTGTAAATGTAAATTTTTATTTTCTGGAGAAAAGAATGTCAGAGGTGCATTTGCTAGGTCATATGGTAGTTGCAGTCTTAGTTTGCTCTCCAGGAGTGCTATTTTATGTTCCTGTCAGCAGTGTATGAGTGATCTAGTTTTTCTGTATTTTCACCATCACTTATATTGTCACTGTTGTTATTTTGGCCACTAATGGTGGGGTACTGATAAGTTACTGTGCTATTAATTTTCGTTTTCCTACCACCTATGATGCTGAAGTCTTTTCCTGTACTGACTTCTTGTCTGTATTTCCTCTTGGATGAATTCTCTCCTCTATTTTCTAATTGATTTGCTTGTCTGTACTGTGGAGTTTTGTAAGATCGGTATAATTTAGATACTAGTCCTTTGTCTCATATATTTTTGGCAGATAGTGTTTTCTCCTAGTGTGTAGTTTGGCTTTACATTCTTTTAACAGTGTGTTCAACAACAAAGTTTTTAGTTTGGCTAAAGTACAGGTTACCACTTTTTCTTTTTATGGGTCTTGCTTCTAGAGTCAAGTTTAAGAACTCTTTACCTATCTCTAGATCCTGAAGATTTTCTCATGTTTTCTAAAAGTCTTACAGTTTCACTTTTTACATTTAAGTCTGAATTATTTTGAGTAATTTTTATATACAGTGTGAGGATTATGCCAAGATTTATTTTTGCCCGTGGAGGTCAAATTATTCTAGCAGATTTTTTTTTATTAAGCTTACTCCCCCATGAATTATTTTTGTACCTTTATCAAAACCAGTTGGAAGTCAAATGTGTTGGCACACACCCGTAATCCCAGCACTCTGGGAAGCTGAGGCAGGAGGGTCACAAGTTGGAGCCCAGGCTGGACAACTTAGTGACTTAGTAAGAGCCTGTTGCCAAAAAAAAAAGAAAAGAAAAAAATGAAAGGGGGCTGGGGATATAGCTTATTGCAAAGACCCTGGGTTCAATCTTTAGTACTAGAGGAAAAATAAAATTGGACATATTTGTATGGGTCTGAGTATTTTGTTCTTTTCCACTGATATATGTATTTATTTGTCTTTCGAATTACCACATAGTATTGATTATTCTAAGTATAAAATAAGTCTTGGAATCAGGTAGATTATTTCTGCCAACATTCTTTTTTAAAATTACTTCTTTAAGGGTCTGTGCCTTGTCATATAAATTTATAGTAATCTTACCTACATCTGCAAAATAAATGTTGCTAGGATTTTGATAGAAATTATACCTTTGATAGAATTGATACCTTTGTTATGTTGAGTCTTGTCATTTATCATCCTTTTTTTCTTTTTTTTTTTTTTGGTGATACTGGAGATTGGACCCCGGGCTTTGTGCATGCTAGGCAAGTGCTCTTCCACTGAGCTATACCCCCATGTCGAGTCTTCTAATTCATGAACACTGAATATTTCTCCATTTATTTAGACTTTTGTTGATATCTTTTATCAACATTTTATCACTTTCAGCATATGAATCATATACATGTTACATTAGATTTACATCTATTTTTCAGATATTTATTCTTGGTATGTACAAATATACTTGATTAGTGTATGTCCATCTTGCTCACTGTGACTTTTTCTTATCTTACTGTGCTGGTTGGATCTTCCAGCGCTCTTTGACTAAGAGTGCTGAGGGTTGGCGTTCTTACCTTACTCTCAGTTTTAAGGGGAAAACATTGCCTTTTTAAATTTATTTTTATTCTTTGTACAGAGGATCAAACCCAGGGCCTTAACACTGAGCCAGTTCCCTGGCCCTTTTTATTTTTTATTTTGAAACGGGGGTCTCACTAAGTCACTAAGTTGCTTTAGGCTTGGCTCCAACTCATGATCTTCCTGCCTATACCTCCCAGAGTGCTGGGATTATAGGCATACATCACTCCTTTGTGCTAGTCTTTCACTACCGGGAATTATGTTAGCTGAAGGCTGTTTGGATGCTCTTCATCAAGTTAAGGACATCCCCCAGTATTATTATTTTTCTGAGTATCATTATTATAAATGAGTTTCACATGGCTTGTCTGTATTGGTTAATATAATCCTGATTTTCGTCTTTCGCTTGTTAATAGATTATGTTTGTTGATTTTGGAATGTTGTACCAATATTGCATCTCTGTGTAGATTTTATATACAATTGATTATTTAAAAGCTTTATTCTTCGAATAAATTAAAAGCATATAACCCTATATGCCACAAAAGTCTCCCACCTTTTTCCTTAGCTCAGTTCATCTCCTGGCAGTTGGCTGTATATTTTTTGAGGTTATTTATGCATGAATCAGCACATATAACTTACTCTAGCAGAAGTTAATATGGAAATGAATTTATTGAAGCTTTATATGCTATGCTAGACATTGAGTTAGTCACTTTATTTAAATTATGTCATTGCAATTTTACAACCATTCTTTGAAATATATGTTAACATTTATTATCTAAGTCTCAGAAATATTGAGGAATTTAACATTACTCGGCTACTAAGTGGCAGAGCTGATATTAAGATTAAAGCTTGTCTCACTCTTAAGGCTTGTGTTTTCTTACCATATTTCTTCTCTGAGATCTTTACTGTGGTGTAGAGACTCTTGTTTCCTTTTTTGGTACCAGGGATCAAACTCAGGACCTTGTGCTTGCAAGGCAGGCACGGTGCCACTGAGCCAAATCCCCATCCCCTCTTGTTTCTTCTTATTACTCCTTCTGAATATGCACGTGCTGGGGCCATGAACAGTGTTATTAATTTTTAGAATGTGGTAGCTTATTTATAACATTTCTTAACCATAGCTATTGTTGAGCTGTGGAATTTTAAAGGATTATATTTTTTGAGAAAAGTGTCTTTAGCTTGGAGAAATAATTGTGGGACTATAATGAAATATACTCGACTTGTGGAGCTTAATTTTGCATATACAGGGAACCTTGACTTAATGAACTCAGTTTGTTCTCAAGGGCTGGTTGTAACTCAGGTTGGTCAGTTGAAGGCTTGGGCTCCTCTACATACAGGCAGATCTCAGTGTCCTTAGATATTGGCCAAGGTTTTCTTCAATTAACCACACACAGGAAAAGATGTTGTAATGTTCCTTCGGGAACTTTTTAAGGGTTAAATCTGGAAGCACAAGCAGCCGGCATTTGGGTCATAACTCAAGACTTTGTTTGTAAATAAAACTAAAATTCCTGTCATAACCCAAATTGTTCATATGTTAGACTGATCATAACTCAAGGGTCCACTGTAGTTTGAAGGAATCATAGAACCAGAAATCATGCACCAGGATAAAACAGTATCTGTTCTGAAATGTGTATTAACATGACCTGGAAATGGGAAAGAAGAAGGGTGTTAGCAGTTGACTAGAATGCAAGGCTTGGGGATCACAGACCCAATCTCTGGCTTTTCCTTGTCCTCCTTTTTATAGGAGTTTATCCCCTAGTTTCCTTTTGACTAAACAGATTTTACCTTGAACACCATAATATAATATAATTTTCCATGTTTGTAAAAAATTGTAAACCTTAGTCCATTTGGTACATGGAAGGGCATACTGAATATAAATAAATTTAGGTATATAGTAAAGATGGAAAGTATGAACCTGCAGAGAAGTTACACTTTTCCAACATGATTGCTGGCATGACATTATCACCTTTCTGGACTTCAGTTTCCCATCTAAAGATAAGAATATTGGCTTAAGATGATTTCTAAGCATTTCTTCCAGTTACTACAGTGATTCATTCAGTAATATTACAGGATTGTACTTGCTGATTCCTAATTTGAGAGCATTCTGCTAGTGAGCCACAAGGTGGAGGGCTTGTCCTTCTCTTGTAATGGTTTTCATAATTAATTTAATGTTTCATGCTAATTTTAGTCAATCTGGCAAATTGGAAGGTGTTTTCTGTGGAAGGAGAAGGAATGGGGCGAGTCTTGAATGTATAGAATAAGGGTAACTTGTGTACCCCTTTCAACTTTTGACATTTTTAGATACTATCAGTCAGTAAGGGCATATTCTCTTGTGTTAGACGTCAGATTTAGAGATAGGCTAGTACATACTCTCAACAGATCAAGGCGTTAATGGATGGGGCAATGATGAAAGTGATAAAAATGGAAGCACCGCAGGCCTTTCCTTCCAGTTTTCCTCTTAATTGTCAGTGAATAGG